AAAAAAAAAGGGGGGGGGGGGGGGGGGGGGTTGTATTTGTATTTGGTAACATTTTCTTTGAACCCCTAAAATAAAATGAATCAGAAGATTGCATCTCCTTCCATGAGCTGAAAGCGTCTCGAGACCCCCGTCTGTATGTGTGAAGACGTCTTGAGGAGCTCGCCTTGCCCATCACACACCTTATATAGGCATAGAAACGGTCAAATGTCGAGCAGCAGCGAATCGCCTCTCAGATCCATAAAAAAAGACACGGGGCATGGAGAAGCAGCCCAATGCGGCTGTTTCCAAAAAAGTATTGAATGTCCAGAGGAATTCAGGCACCCCTCCCGTGAAAGTGCGTATTAGAGAGTGCGCACAGGAGCGGGCGCTCGCACTCCAGCTCTGTCTGCGTTCAGTCAGTCCCAAGCGCTTCTGACCCTCGCTCCTCTCTGGACATTTCTCTTTTGCAGCCGAGCAACCCATAAGCAGCCATGGATGCCATTAAGAAGAAGATGCAGATGCTCAAGCTCGACAAGGAGAACGCCTTGGACAGAGCTGAGCAGGCTGAGGGAGACAAAAAGGCAGCGGAGGACAGGAGCAAACAGGTCTGCGGTTTTTATGAGGACTTTTAAAAGTTATCCATAACGCTCCCGCGCGCTACTTGATAAATGGATTATTACTGCGCCTGAGTGGATTTATAGTGTCTGAAGAAGGGTAAAAGTAACGAGTACGAGAATTAAACTTTTCAATATCAAGTAATGCCCTATTTCTTTTTTCAATGCCCTTTTATTGTCACACGTCTAATGCAGAAACATGTAACCTTTAATTCATTAACCCTTAATGCTCCATTGATACAGGCTCAACTAGCCTATACTGTCGAATAACAGCCTATTTCTGTAACTTCTACTCGATTTTATTCGTTTTCAACTAAATTTTCATCTTTAGCAGGCTAATTAGATTCAAAATGGTTGAATGAGATAATGACAGCTGTAGCCTAACTTTTGGATTAGGCGATACTTAAACTGAAGTATTCAGTCAACCGTTTTAGTGAGCTGTTCTTTTAACACTGTAACTGTAGTAGCCTAATTTCGGAATTAAAACCTTCGCTTCAAAGTATTCTTCTGACCAAATTAAAACTCGTTTGGTAGATACTATTGATGCTTTAACCCTTTGTGGTAAGTACACACCCTTTTAAGAAGTATGATCCCAACAAAGCACACTGTAAAAATCAATCAATCAATAAAACAAATGCATGTTAAGTATATTTTTGAGCTATTAAATAAGCCTTTGGGTCTCCCAGACCACACACGGAAGCAAGGGTTAAACAGCATGTTTAGTATTTTAAATTTCAAATTAAAATATTTTTTTAACATTATTGATTCATGTTGATAAATTATATAAATGTAATAGCAATAAAATATTCATTATAAAATATTATAAATTAATTTTAAATATATAAAAATTATATTATATTATAAATGATCATTTACTTTAAGAAATTCATTTAATTTAATAGTAATAAATTAATTAATATAATCACAATAATGTAATATTATTCTAGGTATAAAATTATTTTTGTCATAATATCTGTGCATTACAATATCAAAATGTTTAGAAATAAAAGTTAAATATATGTGTATGTGTGTGTGTGTGTGTGTGTGAAATATATAATAGTTATATAATATTATTAAGTTAATAAATTATACATTATATAAATATAATAGTAATATATTTTAAATAATGTAATAGTAATAAATTAATATAATCATAATAATGTAATATTATTTATATTATTTTATATATATATATATAAAATCTAAATATATAATAGTAATATCATATTTTTAAGTTAATAAATTATATGTTATATAAATATAATAGCAATATAATGTTATTTTAATAATTTAATAGTAATAAATGAATATAATCTTAATAATGTTATATTATTTTTTATATATATATATATATATATATATATATATATATAATCTAAATATATAATAGTAATATAATATTTTTAATTTAATAAATTATGTTATATAATAGCAATATGTTATTTTAATAATTTAATAGTAATACATTAATAGAATCTTACTAATGTAATATTATTTTATTAATATTATTATATGATACGTATAATAAAACATAATTGTCCAGAAAAAATTACAACAGCAGAGTCCTCTCTGATCAAAGCTGTAATCGTCCATATAGAGGGCGCAACAGGACTAAACAACTAGATGCGAGGCCCAGAACAACGCGCCCCTCCCACTGAAGCCCTTCCATATTCAGCAGCTCAGTCTCAGCACCAGCGCTCTGCAGTCAGTTACCGCATCCAGGTGTGCGGCAGGTGCAGCGTGTTAACATGCAGTGCACATCCTCCGAATGACTGCAAAATTAACTACTATTTAAATGAATTGATCAAATGTGTTTTTTTCATGAAACATATTAAACGCATATTCAGCTCTTAAACGTCTCGCATGGAAACACATGGTAATGACGTCGCGTGCGGCTCGCCTATGAAGACATGGTTACTTCCGGTGTGATCTCGCGCACACACAGACCAGGGGCAGCAGCGTCTCTGAGCTGTGCTCATCTGAAGCAGACGCGCTTTTAGTGGTTACTCAGAAGAAGAATGGCGGCTACATCGCTGGAAGCAGTCAAACGGAAGATAAAACTGTTGCAAGAGCAAGCGGACGGCGCTGAAGAGAGAGCGGAGAAACTGCAGAGGGAATTGGCGCTCGAGAGGAAAGCCAGAGAAGCCGTAAGAACGCCGAATGATACAAAGTATACAGTGCATGTGTTGAAATGCGCCCCGTGAGTTCACTTAAACAGCCGCGTAAGGAACGGGTGCCACAAGCGCGCGGTGATGTGCGGGATGAACGTAGCGGAATTTCTCCGACGCCCTCTGCGCGCTGTTTACCAGCCCGATAAACGGCGACATTTGTATCACACCGGTTTTTTTAAATAACTTCTCTTTTCTTACTTGCAACAAACAGGAGACGCGAATTAAATGTCTGCCAGTGTGATTATAACCTGACGCATGGAAATGCAGTTTAAGGGTGCTGGAGAATGATATCCGATTCGTGTCCGAACGAGTCGTTCTTTTGAGTCGAATCTTGAAAGTGAATCAGTTGAACCGGTTCACCTATTCGGTCTGATTGATTAGTTCACGAGTTTGGCTGAAACGCTGTGAACGGTTTAAACAACAATTAATTGACTGTCTTAAACCTGTCCGACTCCTAATTAAGCGAATTGATAGACGGGTTGATAGATTGATATAGATTGATATTGATAGATTCGAACGCGATCGATTCCCAAAGAGCCGACAACCAACTGATAATGTGAACCGATATATCAATCATACAAAATCGGTCTTAATAAATTACATTTGTTTTTGTTGTTTTTTTCAAATTGCAAAAACTTTCAGCTGGGAGATTTAAAAATACAGTTTGGACTCACACCGGTTTTTTTAAATAACTTCTCTTTTCTTACTTGCAACAAACAGGAGACGCGAATTAAATGTCTGCCAGTGTGATTATAACCTGACGCATGGAAATGCAGTTTAAGGGTGCTGGAGAATGATATCCGATTCGTGTCCGAACGAGTCGTTCTTTTGAGTCGAATCTTGAAAGTGAATCAGTTGAACCGGTTCACCTATTCGGTCTGATTGATTAGTTCACGAGTTTGGCTGAAACGCTGTGAACGGTTTAAACAACAATTAATTGACTGTCTTAAACCTGTCCGACTCCTAATTAAGCGAATTGATAGACGGGTTGATAGATTGATATAGATTGATATTGATAGATTCGAACGCGATCGATTCCCAAAGAGCCGACAACCAACTGATAATGTGAACTGATATATCAATCATACAAAATCGGTCTTAATAAATTACATTTGTTTTTGTTTTGTTTTTTTTCAAATTGCAAAAACTTTCAGCTGGGAGATTTAAAAATACAGTTTGGACTAAATTTGATTAGGCTACTTAAAATGCAAATTCATGCAATAGTTTGAACCGAATCGTTAAACAAATTTGATGAACTAAATCATGACTGCATACTGAATTAAGAAGACGCATGAAATTATATTTGAAAACACCCATTTAAAAATGCAATCTGGATATTAGGGACTGTGATGACAATTACGCCTGAATGTCAATTCAGTGAGTCGTTTTTGAACCGGTTCTTTGAATTGAACCGTTCGAACGAATCGATTCGCGGAAATGAGTCGGACGTTTTGAAACGGGACGTTTAAACAACAGACCATGTTGTTTTCACCCCAAACTTTGAGATTGCTGATGACATCTCTGTTTAAGACTCATCCCTGTTTTTCAGGCTGTTCTCTTGTTGACAGTCGTAATTGGAGAGTCTGGTTATAATCCAGTTAGTTAAGTAAGTTGTGCTGTTGTGAATAGGTCCTTGTTTGATGACAATTTACGCTGGACCAGAGGTTCTGAGTGTAATCATTTTAGGCTAATAGCCTACAGCAGTTCAGTAGTGATCCTGGACAGAACTGTTTATGCAGGCTGTGCTGTAGTGGTTTTATTATAATGAATAGGTGGTGCTGCTGCTTCTGGCTGTATGTTGACATCTCATGAAGCAGCATTTTTACACTTTCCCTTATATGGCCAGTCTGCGTCATCACATACAATAGGACTCCCCTTAGTCATGCTGAAATAAACAGTGATGGCTCTAGTTTGCTGTAGAAGCATGGCATTAATAATTAGTCTGAGTCTTTTCTAAACAAGCATGCTTGAGACTCTGGGCCCTTTAAAGAAATGCTGGCTGTCAAGGTTATCTGTGTTGCTTTCTAGTTTTTCATATCTCAGCTGACAATATAACATGCACTTTGCCCCAGGTAGTTCCCTTTAGTGGAAGGCCTTTGCTTATCGCTGGACTGGGACTTAAGCAGAGGTTATGCATGCTATAAAAACATAAATATGCACTTATATTTTGATGGTGTAACAATATTATATATTTAAAATACTTATGCTAAATGAATTGACTTATATATTCCTGTGTTAAAAGTCAGTCTTATAGGCCAGATTTTACATTGGATGTAAAGTGGTGATTTAATATATTGTCTAAAATGTCAAAAGTTGAACAAAATTAATGTGGCAGATAGGGATGTAACGGTATGAACATTTCTTATCACGATTATAGTGACCAAAATTATCATGGTTATCAGTATTATCACGGTATTGTTAAAATGTGCTGGAAATGTTCAAAAAGTACTGACACATAAATCATTTCACCAAGTTTTACATTTAAAATCAACAAACAACAAATAAAATGAGTTTTTGTTTGCATAACTAAAACAATAACATTGCCAATGATGTCCGGATTTTAAATGACAACTTGACTGACAACAGTTTATCTAATAGCATGTTCAAAAATCTAATGGAAATGTTCTAATAAAGCTTGGAAAAAGTTTCATCGTTGTGACGTTTTACAAGAAAAGATAATTGTCTGTTTTGCTTACATACATCTACACATTTCACATTTTAAGACTAAAACAAAAGATGGATTCATTGTTATTCTTAATTAAAAAGCAAAATAACAATAAAACAGTAAAATACAATGACAAACTAGCTTATATTAACAAAAACTAATAAGACGAGGCATGGCATACACCTCATGCTGTATTATATACAGACTAATAAATTACAGAACGTTTAGCAAACACTGAGGAATCAAATAAATAAAAAAGAGAGCCTCCATAGCATAACGTGAGGTAAACAGCAAAGATGACAAGCTTTTCAAAATGAAAACAAAAAGAAAAGTAAAACTAAACTTTTAAACTTGTGGTTTAGTTTTACTGTTGACTGTCGGTGACAGTGCTTGCATGTTTTTGTCCCACAAGAATACCAGCATGTTCACCTTTGGTTTAAGAAGCGGTCTTTTACTTTACTTTAGCATCAAACCCATCCATCGTTTCCTCAATATTCGCGTAATTTTTGCTGCACGCAGCTTCGCGCTCCTGACGCGGCGATTATAAACCAGGCTCTACACTCGAAGCGCTGCGCAGCTCAAACAAGTCGCGCGGTTTCTTTATGCTTTCAGTTTCATTTGCCGTTTGCTGTTTCTCACATGCAACAGAAATGCAGCGCTTATGAGTTAAACAATGCAGTGGTCGCGCCAGTACACCGCATACACAATTTAGTCGCACCGGCAGAAAAAATTGAAAAAATTATGGCAAAATGCGCCCATTTGGTCGCACTCTGGAGCCCTGTGCAGTACTTGGTTTAAGAAGCGGTCTTTTACTTTACTTTAGCATCAAACCCATCCATCGTTTCCTCAATATTCGCGTAATTTTTGCTGCACGCAGCTTCGCGCTCCTGACGCGGCGATTATAAACCAGGCTCTACACTCGAAGCGCTGCGCAGCTCAAACAAGTCGCGCGGTTTCTTTATGCTTTCAGTTTCATTTGCCGTTTGCTGTTTCTCACATGCAACAGAAATGCAGCGCTTATGAGTTAAACAATGCGGTGGTCGCGCCAGTACACCGCATACACAATTTAGTCGCACCGGCAGAAAAAATGATGGCAAAATGCGCCCATTTGGTCGCACTCTGGAGCCCTGTGCAGTACAGTATTTATTTATCCTCAGTTGTTCAAATCGCGGTAATCGAATACGGTTATAGTGATAATTAAAATATGAAACGGTTATACTAACTGTGGTGTATATTATCACGATTTATCGTCAAACCGGTAATAGTTACATCCCTAGTGGCAGATGAGTTTGATTAGGGCTGGCTTTCACTACAGATGTTCAGATTAAATTTGATATAGTTCAGATTCTGTTTGATTTTGATTCATTTAGATATATTTCAGTTACTGTATTTTTAATCATTTGAGCGATTTACATTCCTTAGCGATTTATAATGCAACTAACGGCAAGCATGCAAAAAATTCACAAGTGCACATCTGAATTTGTGGCGAACGAGAGAGTTATGTGAGACCTAGGTTTATTTGTATAGTGTATTTCCTACACACTACACATTAGTTTTGGCTTGGCGTTTACAGTAAATGTTTTTTTCATTATTGAATCACAAAAAAAGTGTTTATACTTTCATTCCTCTTCAAATATAAAGGATTTATTGTAGAGTGAACAAATAGTTTGTAATGATTGTAAACGTTTAGTTTTATTGATTGGTATTGTGCATTATTTCTGAATGTAATAATAAAATGTGACGCACCAATTTGAGTTTTCGCATCAATGCCATTTTTATTTTCTGAAAAATATGGTATATTGTTCATATTGTGTATTAAAATAATTATCACTCATTTAATGCTGTAAATTATGCTTTTTGAAAAAGTAACTGATATATTTTTGTAAATTTAAAGTAACGCGTTACTTTACTAGTTACTTGAAAAAAGTAATCTGATTGCGTAACTCGCATTACTTGTAATGCATTATCCCCAACACTGCTTTTCAGTGCATGAATTATGTAGACAGTCAGTTGTGTTGTATTAATTGCATTTAGCATTGTGAGAACAGAACTGTGACTCAATTCTGGTTCACAGTCCACCAGGAACCCACAGTTACTGCTGTATGACTGCTACAACAACATTTCTACATCAAAGCCCAAGCTTCATAAAGCAGCACTGAGTTTCCCTGCAGTCAGCGAAAGCATGTTTGAAATGATCCAGCTTGTGTGTTTGTCAGGTAGCAGGAGCTGCCTGTAGTTCTCCACTGGTCATGTGTGTTTGCCCTTTGACAGTGTAATCCGTGTAGTCCGCTGGGACTCCCTCCCAACGCCTGTTAATGTTGTCCCAGAGGCTCGGTAATGAGCTGATGGCCTAGTCCTGTCTCATCCATTAGCGTTGCTGTCATTATGTGCTATATAATGTGTGCGACCACAGCAGAAGAAATCGCTCTGTCTCAGTAGATCTTAATGGAAGCTAGTTAGTACTGCCGTTTATAACCAAATTACACCGTCGCCAAAACCTGGTTACAAATACAAGCCTGACAAGTTCTTTGCTCTGAATGGGAGCCGTCAGCATTTGTGGGGTGTAGGTTTCACTGTCTGTGTGAATTGTGTGTGAACATCTGATCTTGAGCTTTTATGCCAGTTCCTCTGTGCTCTTCAAGGCTGAGGGTGATGTAGCTTCCCTGAACAGACGTATCCAGCTGGTTGAGGAGGAGTTGGATCGCGCACAGGAGCGTTTGGCCACTGCCCTGCAGAAGCTGGAGGAGGCCGAGAAGGCTGCCGATGAGAGCGAGAGGTTAGTACAGTAAAAGGACATTCACTTTACAATTGCAAAGAATGGTGTAGTACAGTCTAAACCATTGTGGAGTGAAATGAAATGCGGTAGAATGTCTACTGACAACCTGCTTTACAATTGTGTGGCTATCGGCAAGGTTATTGCTGTGCAGGACTACTAGTGGAATTTTGTGAGTGAATCATTCATGTTCACTTTTGGCATTTTCACTTTAGTTTTGATGACGTTTTCATTGCCTTCAAAGACTGACTATAGCAGTGTTTCTCAAACCTGGTCCTGGGCACCCCCCAACACTGCTCATTTTGTATGTCTCCCTTATCTGACACCCATTTCATAGGTCCTGGAGTTTCTTCTAATGAGCTAATGAATTGAATCAGGTGTGTTTGATTAGGGAGACGCACAAAATGTGTAGTGTTAGGGGGCGCCCAGGACCAGGGTTGAGAAACACTGGACTATAGTATAACATTTTAAGTGTGAGCTGAGGGCTATTTAATTGGTTGGACGTACTGAACAATAATGCTCTTTACTGAATGAATCGGCTGCACTCAACATCTTGTGTGCAAACTGAATTAACGCAGAATCTCATTTGCGAACGAACCAAATGAACATGGTTTCTCAACAGAACTCGTATGTAGTGAAATAATTGTAACTTAAAACATCTTGCTTGTGAGCGAACTGAATAAACAGTATTTTGTTTGTGAACAAACCGAATTAATGCAGTATCTCATTTGTGAATGAACCAAATTAAAATAATGCAGAATCTTCTTTATGAACGAACTGACTAAACTAACAACTGAACTGAACGAACTGGCTTGTTTGTGAATATTCCAAATCGAATGAACTTGCAAACTTGTTTGTGAGCGAACCGAATGAAGGCAGAGTCTCGCTTATGAACAAAATTGACTTAATGCTGTATTTATGAACAAACCAAATCTTGAAAATTTTGTTAGTGAATGAACCAAATGGTATCTCTCTTGTGCAAACTGATTAAACGTAGTATCTTGCTTGTAAATTAAATGAATGAACAGTATTTTGTTTGAAGAAACCAAATGAACGCAATGCAATATTTCACTTGTGAGCAAACCAAAATTAATCGAATAGACACTGCATCTCACTTATGAGCGAACTGAATAAATGTGAATATCTTGTTTGTAAACAAAATGAATGTAATAACCCGCTCAAATGAATTGTTTGAGTGAATTATTCACAGACTCATTCATTGAATAAATCATTGAATAAACCTTTTTGGAATGATTTAAATGATTTGAGTCACTGGCATGAATCAAAATCACAACTAAACATTACTGATTTATTTATGTGAGACTAAAATTATTTATAATTTTAGTTGTAATGTTTCTTTTTTGTTTTTGATGTAAAGATTTATTTTTGGCATTTTTGCCTTTTATTAGGATATGACGGTATTGGCAGTCTTCCTCATGATTGTGTAGCCTAGTGAACCAAACTGAGAGACCATTTTGAAGGCTCAGGAAACCTTTGCAGGTGTTTTGAGTTGATTAGCTGATTGGCATGTCACCATATTCTAATTTGTTGAGATAGTGAATTGGTGGGTTTTTGTTAAATGTGAGCCTAAATCATCACAATTAAAAGAACCAAAGACTTAAACTACTTCAGTCTGTGTGCATTGAATTTATTTAATACGAGTTTCACAATTTGAGTTGAATTACTGAAATAAATGAATTTTTCCACGACATTCTAATTTATTGAGACGCACCTGTATACAGGAAGTGAAGAGAGGGAGCGGGGGGTGAGAAAACTCTGTGAGCCTGGACTCCAACTCGGGACGCTGAAGCGCAACTGTGCTGTCTTGAGGCTATTGGCACCGACAGTTCAATTAATCTTATCTTGTGCAGCCAAGTTACAAACAAATAGAAAAAAATCAAATGAAGGACTTTTCAGTACTTATTTAATTCTCTGGAATGTCCAAATATATTCATTATCTCATGTTTTTTTTTTTTTTAAATCGATCGATCGATCAATAAAATAAATAAACGAACAAACATTTTATTACTGCATTTCCTGTATGAGTTTGTCCATGCTGCCAAGTACTAGTATATGCAGTACATGTGTACAGTGCTATAGCATACTGTGGTATTGTGAAGTACAATGTAATCAAGTGTGGCATTCTGTAGGACCGTCAGCCTGATTCACTGAAGCAGAAAGAGTCAGTTGAGCAGGTCCACACCCCGTTCCTCCCCCTCTCGCAGTAACTGTGGTTACTGTGTGCAGCTCCGCCGATGTGTTGCTATTGAAATGACAACATGCTGCCACTTCCTAGCCTGCACTGCACATCTGGTGCCCTGCATAAAGACTGTTTGTGTGCGCTGAGGGAAGTCCATGTAATTTGCTAATCACCAGCATCACGACCCTACATAAGTAGTTCGTAATCATAATTGTGTTTAAGCAAGCATCGCTATCATCATCATTTATTATTATTATTATTGCTTTTCAATTAGTTTTTTTTTTTGTTTTTACAAAATTGTGTTTTTATTTGAAGTTATTTTTAACAATAATGCTATAAAAAAATTATAGCATTATTTTAATACATTAAAAAAAAAAACAGTATAAAACGTTCCAAATGTATAGTGTTTTCATTTTTCATTTCATTTGTTTTTCACTTTTCACCTACAAGACTTTTTTTTTTTTTGGAAAGTTTTAAAAAGCCCTGGAAATGCCTCTGCACATAGCAGAAAAATCAAGGGCATGCAGTCGGTTGTAGTTGTGTGATGCTGTTTTTGGCCTAAACAACTGACGTGAGCTGTTTGCGTAGAGCCAGTGGGTCCCTGAATAAACAGCAATTTGTAGAGGCACTAGGCTGCATTTCCCTTCCTTTGTTTGCACACACAGAGTCCCTCTGTCTCCAGCCCAGCACGCCTACATAGAACCACTCTGTACCGAGACCTGGTCTAGCTCTTAGGTGCTTTTTCCCTCCCATTCATCTGTTCTGACAGTGACTGTTGTGATAATACAAGAAAACATGGGTTAAGCTAAAACTGTGTCTTTGATCCCAAAGCTTAGCTGCAGACAAGTTGGCGGCTTTGAATGTAATTTGTTGCGAGTTATTGATCCAAATGGAGTCATAGTGATGCTATAGAGAGATTTAATTTTCTCTTTCAATCAATTTCTTGCTTTCTCTTTCCAGAGGCATGAAGGTCATTGAGAACAGGGCTCTGAAGGATGAGGAGAAGATGGAGATCCAGGAGATCCAGCTCAAGGAGGCCAAACACATTGCTGAGGAGGCCGACCGCAAATATGAGGAGGCAGGTTTCCTCAGCCACCAAACCACACATGCGCATTACTTCCTGCCTAGTCACATGACCTTTCACACTTAAAGTGTGAGCAAGCAGGTGCTTGCAGTTCAGCATAAGCATAAAAAAAAGATTTGCTGTATTTTGTAATCTGATCAAATATAGTTTTGTGGTTTTTGATTTGTTTGTTTTGTTTTTTGTTTTGTTTTGTATTCTTTTTCTTTGTTTTGTTTGATTTTTAGTTTTGGATTTTTGTTGTATTGCCTTTTGTTTGTTCATGTTTCATGTTTTTGTTTCTTTGTGATTTTGCTTTGAACTTTTTTTTCTCCTTGTTTTGTGTTTGTTTTCTGGTGGTTCATTGCTTTTTGTTTTTGTCTTGTTTTGTGTTTATTTTTTGTCTTTTTTTTTCCCTTTTTGTCTTTTCTTTTTATGTTTTCATTTGGTCTCGTTTAATGTGTAGAAAGTGTTTTCCCCCCTTTTAAATTGGCTATAAGTACAAGTATGTGACTGTCCCATGATCTGGCCTGTGTGTGTGTGCAGGTGGCCCGTAAGCTGGTGATCGTTGAGGCTGAACTGGAGCGCACAGAGGAGCGCGCTGAGCTGAATGAGAGGTACGAGACTTTCCTGCAGCTTCTGCATGTCTGCACAAACCTACACGCATATTCATGCATGTGCCTGACTCTCTTCACACACTCACACACCCTTACACACAGAATACATGAGACGTTAACTAGCCTTTTACTTTCTGAGGCCAATGAATGCAAAATGTATTAATAACTAGAGCTTCTCTGTAACTGATTGATGCTTTTTTTAACATTGGTTTCTGTCATACAGTCCTTTTGTAACCGGTATAAGAGCCTCTTCTGACATATAAATGTTACTTTAGTCAGCACTCCGTGTGCTCTGCTTTTCCTAATTGGTCCATTGTTTTAAAACTGACGTATCATACCGTAACACTATTTAACTTGAAATGAATTGTCTCTGAATGGCATCCTCAGGTGTTGTGATCTATGCCTGAATACAAATATGCCCACTTCCGTGCCATCTAGTATGCGTGAAAAAACAGTAGGTCAATAAGTTGTATGTCTGCGTATAAATTATTCATTAAACGATAGAAGAAAATACCTGGATGACCTTCTACTTCCGATTCTGACTCTTAAGTTTGCACTTGATGCACATATCAACAGTAGCTTAGATGTAACACAACAATGTGTCCCGTGTGTACATCCCCTAAGAATATTACTACCATATTACTAATACCTGCTTCACATTCCTGTTTGTTGTTTTGGTTGTCTTATGTTTTTTTTATTTTTGCATGCACTGTTAACTTGCATGTGGCCCGTGTTTGGAATGGCCTTCCCTCTGCACACACTAACAGACGCCTTCGAAGATTAGAGGATGAGCTTCGAGTGTTGGACCAAACCTATAAGTCATTAAAGGCATCAGAAGAACAGGTACTGCACGCCAGTCATTAGGTCACATCTAACCTTGTGTACTCTGTAAGAGGCAAAACCACAGTTTCCCTTGCTTGCTACCCGTGCAGCTTTATTTGGTCCATCTTTTTGTTGTTTGTTTCACGCCCTTCTAACTTGGCAGGAATGCTGCAACTTGATTTCTTCTCATACGGTGTAACTCCTAACAACTTGCATGCAGCTGTTATGTAGACTTCGATTCATCATCATGGCACATTCCTGCTGTGTTAAGGGGACTTTGGGCTCTCCTTGTCCTCCATCCCTGTTTTGATTGATTTTGGTTTTTTGTTTCTTTTGTTCCTCTTTTCTCTCTTCTGGTTCCTTGATGTCCCTCTGTTCCAACCTGCCTCTGGTTCTCCTCCTCTCAATGTACCTTTCCTCCTCTTGTTCCTCCTCCTTTCCTCTGTGTGTAAAACACCAGCAAATGCGCTGAGCTTGAGGAAGAGTTGAAAACTGTGACCAACAACCTGAAGTCCCTGGAAGCCCAGGCTGAGAAGGTAGGTGTGCTCTGCTGCTGCTGTCCCAGGCACACAGTCCACCCCTCCTCCTCAACAAACCGGGATAACAAGTGTTTCTATGTTTAACAAACCAACTTTGTCTGTATATGTCAATGAGGGGTTGAAGTGTGCGTTTACTTGCTTTTTGAAAAAATTTCCGATTTCTGATTTGTGCTGTTGTGGTGCTTGTCTAACTGGTCCATAAGAATCAGCGTAGGGGCTTTTTTTTTATTTATTTTTTTTACTTGACGGTCATTCTGGGGAAGCTTTCTGGATGACCATTATAATCTTGTTAAAGTGAAATCTGGTTAAGAGTCAGTCTGTGAACACTCAAGAGCTTTGTTTCTGCATCCGTAGTTATATGCATGTATGAATATCTGTATCTGCAGTAGACTTTAGCAGATGATTTTGATCAACATTAGCTTACATGACATTAAAAAGTTACCATATTTTAAAAACCTGTAATATTGAGTTAATGCTAGTACTGTCAGATCAGTTAATCGAGATTAATCGCATCCAAAATAGTGTTTACATAATGTTTGCATTCTGTGTAGATATTGTTTATTTATAAATGCACGCATGTGTATATATTTAAGAAATATATGTAATGCATATTTATATTCATATATAAAATAAAATACTTAATAAAAATATTTCTTAAAGGGGTCATATGATGTTGCTAAAAAGAACATTATTTTGTGTATTTGGTGTAATGAAATGTTTATGCGGTTTAAGGTTAAAAAAACACTATTTTCCACATACTGTACATTATTGTTTCTCCTCTATGCCCCGCCTTTCTGAAACGCGTCGATTTTTACAAAGCTCATCATTCTGAAAAGCGATTGTAGAAGCGAAAGTGCGTTGTGATTGGCTGAATACCTCAAGCGTCTGACGGAAATGTTACGCCCCTCACCATACTGTGATGCCGTGTCCCGGAGCGACAAGACCACCAATAAAACCCATTATAAACAAGGCGTTTGTTGCATCCAGTGGAGGCATAATTACGGAGTATAATGACTTGTATGCATTTTTTTATGCATTGTATAACTAAACTAATCAAAGTTAAGCCTTCTTTCTTTGTGTGAACATTTGGCCGGTGTTATGCAAATCTTCCCACACAGTGATGTAGACATGTGGGGACGCGTTTAAACAAGGCATTTTAGGAGAGCTTGGACAAGTCTTAACTTTTATAAAGAATATCTCTTTGGGTTTAAGACTTTAGTCTTTGCAACTTCAGGGATCTTATCTATTCACGAACCGCTTGTAACACTCCAAAGAGAAAGGAAAATTTTAAATTGCATCATATGACCCCTTTAAATATATACGTGTGTGTATAAATGTGTACAGTACATACTCCTTATGTAAACAAAATTATATTTTGGATGCGATTTATCGATTTGACAGCCCTAGTACATATTAAAGACACAAACGAACGCATTTTCATCTGTGAAAATAGTCCCACATCTTTGGTAATTTACATGTCAGTGGTTTTTATCTATGGATTACACAGTCTGAATATATATATACATATATATATATATATATATATATATATATATTTCAGGAACATTGGTATGCGAAAGATATGAGATATCAGTCCTGGATATGAGAATTGGAGAAAAAAATTCTGGTTTATGTGCAGTAACGAAGCCTAAGAGTGTTATTGAGCGGAGTGCTAATGTAGTGTTAAATGCTCATGTGCTGGTGTGTGTTTTGACGTCTGTCCCTCTTATGATGTCTTCAGTACTCACAGAAAGAAGACAAATACGAGGAGGAGATCAAGGTCCTCACTGACAAACTAAAGGAGGTATGAACATCTTTCATGATATTTAGTCATCCTTCTGTCCAGGGGAGGCAAGTATATCAAGTCTTATATCACTATATGAATAGTTTTAGATCACTGTTACTGTGTATATATCACACACAATAATAACTTATCTGATTAGATTTTTTCCCCACCAGTTCTGGGCATTTAAATACGTTTAGGTTTTTTTTAGCTACAAATGACTGTCCCAGCAGTCTCAATGATTTTTTTTTTTCTGCTGCAGGCCGAGACCCGTGCCGAGTTCTCTGAGAGGTCAGTCGCCAAGCTTGAGAAGACCATTGATGACCTTGAAGGTACGACTTTCGTTCATTCGAGTCATTTCAGCCCCTGTCAAATTTTCAATCATACGTGTGATTGTGAAGTATTCAGTGCGACTACTCCTTTTACTTCAGGTCAATAAAGCTTTCAGCCTTTTTTCTTTCTTTTTTTTTTACCGTCATTCTGTTCCTCAAACCTTCTGCCCTACTGGCCTTCTTTCAGCTTCCTTATCGGTTCAGTCGCACAAATAAGCATCACCTCTTTCGGAGAGACCAGTCATTGTGCAGATCCACACACACAGACTTCACATTGTTTTGTAAGATGACACTCGTGTTACTGAGGTCCAATTACACGCAGCATTTAAACTTGATTAGGCTTTTATAAGCTGCTGTTAAATAGTCTTCTCCTGTTCTGCTCGTATTTGGATTTACACAAGCCCAAGTTCATTTTCATAACTGTACTGCCATATTTGCACTTTGTTAATGTATCTGTGATAATTCAATATCCCGGTCAGAGAGGCATCAGTAAGAACCTTAACAGGGATAGTTTATCCAAAAATGAAAACTGTTATTTATTTGCGTTCATGTCGAACCTGTTTTATTTCATTTATTTCTGTGGAACATAAACACAGATAGTTCACACATGAATTCCCTGAGTGCTCCCTTCCCATAATAGGAACTGAAAATGAGTCCCAAAATGACACAAAAAAAAATTCCACGTAAGAAATGGTTTTATTCATAGAGGACGCATTAAATTGATCAAAAGTTACAGTACAGACATTTGTTACAAGAGATTTCTGTTTTACATAAATGCTGTTTCTATTCTTTAAAGAATTCTGAAAAAAATGCATTACGGGTTCCAGAAAAATAAGCAGCATAACTGCTTTCTAAGTCGATAATGTTTTTGCGCAGAAAATCAGTATAGAGTGATTTCTGAAGGATCACGTGACACTGAAGACTGGAGTAATGAAGTTGAAAATTCAGCTTTGCATTACAAGAATAAATTACATTTTAAAATATATTCAAATAGAAAACTGTTATTTTAAATTATAATAATATTTCACGATTTTTCTGTATTTTTGATCAAATAAATGCAGCTTTGGGGAACATAGACTTATTTCAAAAATATTTTTACATTTAAAGTGCATTTATTTCATATTATTGGTATGTTAAAACACAACCAGAAAGAAAGTACTGTAAAAGTAGTCGGTAGCTATGATTCCATCCAAAGTTACGAAATAAACTTGTGTGCAAAATTGGAATATCGCATAAAACATTTGCGAATAAAGCACGGTTTCTATCCAGTGAGTTGAAGAGTACAAAAGCGTCACTTCAGGATTAACTTAAATATCACAAAGAGAAATTTCATGTGCTGCATTAGGAGGAGGCACTGTATATAATAATTTATTACAATAAATTACGAGCTTCAGAGCACACAGATGAAGCATGGAAATCTTATTTTCGGAGCCTGCTGTTTGGGAACGCAGTGCTTGAAGTTAATTATAACGAAGCACTTTGACGAGACTTTGCCCAAGCATTTTAGAACAACAAAACTAGCATTTCAGATGCTGTGCAATGAGATCAGTCCATTGGTCGGTCCAGGTATGCTGTCCCATCGCAAAGTCACATGATGCGCATGAAGGAATTCATTCGGTAAAATTGTTTCCATCGATTTTATGTGCATGTTTTCTTACCGGATAAGAAAATTATCCTACTTAGTTGAGCGCGTAAGTTTATTTATTTATTTTTAAATGCGCATCTTGGCGTTTCCATCCAAAATGCGCATAAAAATAGGTGGATGGAAACATAGCTAATGACTTTTGCACTATATAAAAAGTATACAAAATATTCAAAACATGAAGGTTTGACAAATGAGTAGAAACGCAGAAACCAGTGGCACCTGGAATGACATCTAGAAAAAGCCATAATGAGTTAAATGAGATTTAAAAGCTTCAACAGGTGGGAAAAGAGCATTCTGGGCATTTTGCTGACATTGTTTTCCACTGAAGAGTTAAAGTCCTACAGGTTTTAAATGAATGACATGAGTGAGTAAATAATGACAGAATTAATTTAACATCTCGTTAAGTGACCTGTGAGCGACCCTGTTTGGGGTTTCATGGTGACTCTGGCGAATTTGTCATGGTCTTTGCCTTGTGTTTCAGTTCCTTTCCATTCCTCCTTAACTTTATTTTATGTTTTCCCTCCACTCTTTTTCTCTCTCTCTCTGTCTTCACATCACTCTCTCGCTGTCTGTCACTCGGTTCACCGGGGCTCGTCTTGCCGCTGGATTGGATGCTTCACTCCTGCACCTGTTTGTATCCCTTCCCTCCACCTCTTCCTCTGTCTCCCCTCCATCAAACACACCATCCCGAATCCCGATAGATGAGTTGTATTCCCAGAAACTCAAATACAAAGCCATCAGCGAGGAGCTGGACCACGCTCTCAACGACATGACTTCAATGTAATTCATCTGCGGTCTCTGCCTGTGCCTGTGCCCCTCCCCCATTACCCATAATCCCCCTCTCACCCGCTCTGAATAAGGTCTTGTATCTTCAGTTCACACACTATATGACTCATTCTTCTGTTTAAAAACTCTATCTCTAACTCTACAATTCTTATGGTTCCTGTACTGTTATTTGAGGTATTTGAAGTATTTGCTTATTGCAAATTTGTCCATGGGTGTTAATGTTAAGGCCATGGCTTGTAGAGTCAGTGTATAGGAGTTTTGTGATTTGAATTCATAACTATTGTATTACTTCATTTGAAATAATATTGTGAGAAAACAAAACTCCTAACTCTCAAATGTTTGGTTCAATTGTTGCTGGTCAGTACTAGGTCTGGGTGATATAGCTTTAAAAGTTAGTTTATTTATATTTTGTTATATAAATGTAAAATTAAAATCTTTGTAAAACATTAAATTAAATATGTAAACATTAAAATTATTGTAAAATTTGAAGAAAAGTTTATAATATTTAATATATAATATTAAAATAAAATATTTAAAATATTTTTCCTCTAAAGAATTGCTCAGAATATTTCATTTGTTTATATATTAACATAGCGTGTGTGTAATTATATATATATATATATATATATATATATTTGGGGTGTAACGTTCACAAAATTCATGATACGACATAGTGGTGTCACGGTTCGGTACGTTTTCGATAGGGGGAGGGGGTTTGGGTAATTGCTTTCGTCGCAATGTTGGAAATATTTGTTTTATACCATGAAGGCGAGACAATGAATAGCACTAGAAAGTGAAAGTAAAAGCGGAATGAGGAGTAATGACAGAGTTTTCAGCATCTGACGCCGCATATTCTCAGAGATCCTCTTAATATTGCCAATAATTGATGTTTTTGACTATCTCTGGCTATCGTCGATACAAGATCCTCGTCTTTCGACGCACCCCAGCATGTTGCCTGTTACATCGTTTGGGCTGCCTTGTTAAGACCAGTGGCACTGAGAACATTATATTTCACACATTTTAAGCTCTTTCATTTTCCAAATGTAATAGGATTAGGCCAACGAATCGTTCGGTTTGTAATGCGTACCGAACCGAAAGCCTCGTACCGAATGGTTCTGTGTGTGTGTGTGTGTGTGTGTGTGTGTGTGTG